ACACATAAACACCTAAACCAGTGTGACTGTTTGTAGGCATGCAGTAATTAAACCATCTGCATATCAAAATAGCAAGCTTAGCCTCAGGGTGCAATGACAACAGTGGCRTAGTGTGCACGTGACACTGATGTGTATGTGCATGCATCAATATTTTGCGGCACTATGCCAAGTAACTGACTGCAGTAGTGAGATTCTGTCTTTAGTCTCTATCACTCTACACTAATCCAATTGTGCAAAGAGAGAAAGACGAGGTAAGGGAGAGCATATACAACTGGCTGCATTCCAATTCTAAATGGCACGCTGGATGGGGATATTTATTAGAGAGCGAGGGAGAGAGAGCGAGCACAACAAACACAACCACCACCACGCACAGACTAACACACACACACTTGATGAACCCCATGCAGAACACCCTGCAACGCCCACTGGCTTCCCACAGACCCATATTCAATCATTCACATGCACACTTAATGCCACAATGATGAGAGCACAGACACACATGCCCACTCACAAAAAGGAAAAGAAAAAAGAAAAGAATTAACATCTCACAAGTCCGTGCTGCAAAAAATCAAAGAGGGCAAACTGTAGATGCATAAACCAATATGCAATTAGAGTGACAAAATGATTCAGCCTTAGCACTTTCCTCTTCACTCTACAGCTTTTCTTCAGGCCTTGTTGAACGTGAGGCAAAGATTTGAGTGGAGCAGTGAAAGCTTACTGTTAATGTTGATATACAAGTCCCACAGTGCCATCTGCTGGACAAACCTGTCCCAATGGCCTATTAACATCAGTACAATATTCACAGTAAAACTTGCTGTAAAACTGATGGTAAAAATACAATCTGATAACTTATTCTAATGAACAAATTCATTACATTTTGTTTTGTGTAAGCCTGGATGCACTTGACGCAATGTGAGGAGTAAAGGTGAGCTATTTTTTATTTTTATTTTTTATTTTTATTTTTTTTAGGATGTGGGGAAATGTTTAGTAAGCAAAACTTTGGCTGCATTGTTCTAAACTAACTAAAGATGAGACATTGCGAAATAAGGTTAAAGGACTGGACTGAACTAAATAAATACAAAACTTGACATTAGAATAATTATATAAGTTTAAAAAAATGATGCTCAGGGTAAAAAGAACTGGATGGAAAAAATGTGTGGTGGAAAAGCAACTACGTTGCTCATTAAAACACTAAAGGGAAAGCAACAAATGCTGGACCATGTGAACTTTTGCAAACAATGCATGTTCATTTAAAAATCTTTATTTTCTTGGCTAAAGTAAAAACAAATTCGCAGAGATTTAAGTTTTCAGTTCTCTGTYATGAACTTGACATCAAGCTATGACGGTGAAGAAAATCAGAACATTTATTGCTCCATGACTGGGCTTTCTCCCTCAAAGCTGGAGGATTTTAACAAAATGTCTGTACAAGAAGTACTTTAAATAAAAGCATTCCATCAAGGTAGTTTTATCACTGTGACTTGTTTACTCTGTTTATATTAAAGGTGTGCCAATATCCTGTTTTTCTGCCACTGGTCCAGCAGGTGTGCAGTGAGGGGTCAGTATTTTGACTTCAGATGAGAGCTGATTTCAGCTCAGCAGACCCTGCACAACACAAGTCCTCACCTTCTTAATTTCCTGTCATAATAACTATCACTAAATATATTTTATAAGCAAAACAAATCAAAAAAAGGTGTTGTGGCTTGACTTAAAAAAGATGAGTAAAGCTTAAGAGTTGAGATTTAAAATGTTTGTTGTGGTGATGTGAAGAAAACAATTAGTAAAAATAGGCCTTGTGATTAGGGAAGAATCAGAGAGTGACAGGATGAGATGAAGCACAGAGGAGCATTACAAATTCTAATGTCTGTRGGGACTTGGGGATGTGATATGAGCTGAGAACGCTGCTGGGATTTGGATTTGTGTGTGTGCCTGCTTATGTGTGAAGGGGAATATTTATGGGTGTGTGTGTGTGCATGTGAGTCTCAAACAGACAGATGAACAGACAGAAATAGCCAGAAGATGAAAGTGAGATATCGGGGCGATGCAGGAAGGCGAGGGAAGATGGAAGAGGGCAGGTTTCAGAGTGTGAGTGAAAGGCAAGTGAGACTGACAAACAATTTAATGGTGGATTTACCAAGACAATAACAAGCTGGAGTTCATATTTCAGCATCCCATCAGTGCCATGTTGTGTTTGTGTAAAATTAATTATGTGAGTGGAAATAAATAGTTCCAGCAGTTCTTTCATTCTGTATGTTTTTTTTTCTTTTTTCTATTACACAGACCATTACCTTATACTAAAAAAACTGTCTTCTTGCTAAAGGACATCCATCATATACTGCCAATCTAATTTTGAAACCACACACTCACACACACCTACACACTCACTGTGAATCTTTAGTGATCTTGCTTCATTAAAGAGCTTTTTATAATTTTAGAAAGGAAATGAGGGCTCGTGTTGTCTTGGTTCATATTACTGGATATTAAATGTTCTGGATCTGGGACATAAAAGTCCTAACAGCTAATCGTAAATTCAATGGCAAACATCTCAAATGTTGGGATAGAGGCAGAAAAAAAGGCTTTTAAATAAGTGGTTTGAATAAGAAACAACTAGATGAGCATTTTGAAACTAATTAGGATTACTGGCAACAAGTCAGTAACAGGAGTAATAAAATGTACTTGTTTTAGAGAACATCAATTTCTTAGAACGTAAAATGAGTTCAGGTTCACCAGTATGCAAAAAAAAAAAAAAAAAAAACGCTAACAAAAATACTGGGATGATTTCAGAACAACATTCTTCACGGCAAGATTAGGAAGACTTTTTATAATACCTTCAACATTCTTTAAGAATCTGTAGAAATCTTGGAGCTCAAAGGACAAAAAGCTGAAAGTCAACACTGGGTGGTCAACATTTGGGCCCTCAACGGCCACATAGGTCTTATTCTGTTCAGGGCATTGATGCATGAGCTCAGGACCACTTCCACATTTTATTGTCAGTAAACACAGTTCACTCAGTCAACCACAAGTTCTGTTTAAAGCTCTATCAAGTAAAGAATATGCAAACACCAGAAATGGGGTCTTCTCTGAGCCAAGAGGTTGGAGTTAAAGCAATCTAGCTGTATTTTGGAGAGCTGTTTTCTTTATTGTGTTTTATAGTTTTATATAAACRAAAAAACAGGTAGTACACTTTACCACACAACTGCTTGAAATCCCTCATTTTATTAACAGGTTTTGTGTGCTATAAGCTGGTTTGAGGCCCTGCCACACTATAACGTTTTAGGCAACTTATGCCAACTAATGAAATGCTTTTTCAGTCTAAATAACTAATAAATGCATATATTTGATCAATTTGTTATCATACCATTATGTACACACCTAAAAAAGGCTTCCTGTTGATTTTTTTTAATTCCATATTTAATGTAGATGTCTTTAAAATTTTCACAAGTTGGCATAAGTTGTCTAAAATATCATAGTGTTACAGAGCCTTTATCAATCCTCATGTTTGACCGTATAGCAGAGGAGTCAAAGCAAATAGTTTATGGAGACCATGGTGGAATACAAACCACAGTCAGAGAAAAAGGTGTTTCAAAATGAACACCATAAACTATTTATTAATTCCAAAACAGTTTAATCAAATGCAGCAGGATCTCCATCCTCAATTGAATAATTACCTTGAAAATTTGCATCATGTAAGGTATTTTAACATATAGTACAATCACATGAGGCTAAGCTAAGCAGCTAGCATGCTTTAGTTTCGTTCACTCACTCACAGCTAATGCTTGTTGCTTATTGAAGCTTGAACTCTTTATTGATGAAGACAAATGAGCTCATCAAGTGTTTTCATGCACGTTTTGGTGAGTGTGTGCTGAAGACTGCAATATTTTATTATATTTTTTACACACATATTGTACGCTGATGGATGTCTGCATGCCAGTTACTTGTTTTTATTTAATGCAAATTATATTATTTAAATGTTTATTGTGTTTCTCTTGAGGTTAATTTCTTTGTTTAACCAAAATTGGTGAAAAGTCCCGTTTTCAAGGTGTTCATTGTGGATTTTCCTGTCTACGTGGCTACCATTTGTTCATATGAACTAAAAACAAATCCTCATAATCGTGAGTAGACTGTGAGATGAGAGCAGGGAGGCTCACTTCTTACTTTCTCTTAATTGCATTATGAGTCCATATGGCTGTGTTGCACAATATCATGCTTTCATTTCCTCATCATGTGCTGTTATCAAATGCTGTTCATTTGCTAAGCATGGCTTATTTAGTAGAAGTGTGATGCTTTCACAGATGAAAGACACTGAGAAGGAGGACTACTCTGGAATGAAATTAATGTCTAAATGCAGTTTAAACTAAATAGATCATTTGGGAATGAATTCACAGCAAATGGTGTGATTATTACCAGAGACTTGCACGTGGATATGATATGATGAGGTCTGAGGAAGGTTAGTCTAGAGAGCTACAGAAGGCACTGCAGCTTCTGAAGCAGTTCAGTTGCTGAGCATTAGAGGGTGCTAAAAGACAGAGGGGCAAATGGAAGCATTCAAACAATAAAACCATCAGGAAATTCAAATTAAGCATATCCAATGCAGCAAGATATTTCTACCAGTAATATGAAATTTCCAACTAAACCCAGCCATAACTTCCCCCACTTTATTTATCATCCACTGGTCACAATTTTACCATACAAAATTCACTTCTAACATGAAGCTGCATTGAATTGTGATTTACACACACACACACACACACACACACACACACACACACACACACACACACACACACACACACAC